CTCATGATTTTGAAATGTTTGCACTCTCTGCATTGATTATTCCCTTTTAAACTGATGCAAAAGAAATATGTACTACTGGAAAATATAATGTGTTTTTTGTAAATATAATAATTGTTCCGTGTCAAAAATGATTTCCAAAGCATTCAAATGTATTCTTTTATGTTTTGGGCTTTTACTGTGCTGCATCGTGGTGTAAGCGCAACTAAACGCTTAAAATTGGACGTATTTGACTCAAGAAGGTCGATGTACAAATAAGTTAAAACCAAGAAATTGCGTGCTTCTTAGTTTTTTTTTCCTCTTTTATTAATTTGTGTATAGTTTCTTTCATCACAACTACGGCTCATTGAGATTCATATCGATGCCATTGCTTGGAAAAGGTTTTACAAATATTTACCACGTTTTAAAAATGTAAATGTTTTTAAAATGAAGTAATCAATTTCATTTAAAAAAAAGAATGTGCATTTAAGGCATATTTTATATCGGAAATTTCAAGGATAGAAATGAAACCAAGTATTTACCAAAGGCAATTTGAAAAGATGAATCAAAAGAAGAAATTAACATTTAATTTAAAATATGAGTTACGATAACAACACCTCATTCTCTCTTAATTTTCTCATTTCGATATTGTCAATATAATTTTACACACGGACTAGAATATGACGCTTGAATTTGATTTTAGTGGACTTTACATTTGTGGACTTAACTTAGTGGACGTTTAAGTAATGGACTTAACAATAGTGTGGGCTTTAGAACTGTGGACGTAAAAATTGTGGACGAAAAGTCTGTGGACGTAAAAAAAGTGGACATAAAGTCCGTGTCAGTACCGCCGAATGTAGCACCCGGAGTAGTCGAAGCTACGGCTCCAGCACCCGGAACTTTCGGCCTCTGAGCCCGGAACGGATGGTATGTCTATATCGCACATAACTTTTTTTTTTGTGCGAAGTTATTGAGGACAAATCGGTACGCTTGATCGATAAATCTTAAAATGATTTTTATCAATCTGTAATCAATCAGTATCGTCTCAAAATGTTAGAAATTTCCTGAAAATTGATGATGAAAATCCCCAGAGATCAGGGAAAACGAGTTGGAAACTTATGTGGTCATTCCGTAAATTTTTTCGTGATCGCGTTGCGACCAAGTCTCGCCGCTTTTTTTATCTCGACGGCTGTGTCATTTTCCACCTGCATGCTTCAGCGCTTTGTTTTTGAAAGGGCGTAAGTGCCACCGGGCAACTCTTCGTCACTGCGACATTAGACGATGAAAGTCCCGCGTTTTTCAAGGATCTCCGGCCAAGCTTTTGTTAGCCCTCTTCTAAAACAAAACCGAAGCTGACAAATTGTTAGCTTTTTGGTTTTTTTTTCTTATACCGTATATGCTCTTCGAAACTGAATCAATGTACCTATTTCCCTTTCCCTTATTTGGACCGCGTTTAGCCGAAAGGAACCAAGCCACATCAGCAATGGACCACTAGACAAGGTACGAATTTCAACAATCTGATACATGTTTTTTAACAAGAATTTCACGTAGAACCCGATTCACACAACGAAAATTACTGAATAACCAACTCCTAACGAAGATATTAACGTTTTTATTTCACATTGGTTACGAGGAATTTGAACTGCCCGCTCACAAGAAACTCAAAGCTCTACGTGAGTCAAATCGCGCATTACAACGGTTTCAGCAAGCTTCTCAACCGAGCAATGTTCATTTCCCGCCATGTTTTTTTCAAACTATAAGCAATTTGCTATAGCTGAGCCAAAGCGTTAAGATTGAGGTTGCCAGATTTTTATATCGCAAAGACTGTCATGATAACGTTTAGCGCGCGATGTGAATCACGTAGAGCATTGAGTTTTCAGGAGCGGATGGTTTGAATTTACGCACTAAGAATCATTAAATAGCTTCGTAAGGAGTTGATTTTTGTAATTTTCGTTGTGCGTATCGTGTTCAACGTGAAATTTTGGTTAAGGATCAAGCATCAGAATGCTGAAATTCGTACCTAGTCTAGTGGTCCATTGCCAAATTTAATCGAGCAATTTACTTTTTTACAAGAGAACGTTGGTGCGGACTCCTTTGAAAATTCCAAAGAATTTGCTTTGGACTATGCAGAAAATTCACTGACATTTGCACCAAAATTCGCACAACCGTTTTTATGTAAAAAATTAACTTGCCCAATTAAATTTGGCAATTGCGGATGTGGCTTGATTCCTTCTGCTTAACGCGCTCCAATTTTCCTCAGTCATGTTTTATTACAATACTTACTGATGAATCCCTTTCTTTTCTTTCAGTGACGTATCATCTGACATGACAATGCCATATCACAGAAGTAGCGTGCATTCAAATGGGTACTCCACAGGTATGTTTCTAAGGACTTTATAAAACTATGTTAATAAGAAACCATGCAAAGCTAAATTAAATTAGCTTCTTGTAAAATTTGTTTCTTTCTTCTTGTGAAATTAGTTAGTCTCGTAAAAAGTTTATCCGCCTTCCTGTCGATTTCAATTCTTCTTTTCCAAGGAAATTAGTCTATTATTACGGGAAATTTTGCAACGTCCAAACGCACATTCGGCGTTTCTCCTGAGCAAGGCAGTATTGTAAATCACAAATCATAAAGAGGAAGCCTTCATTAGCTCTGTAACCCATCTCTTCTTCATTATAAGTTCGTATCAAGTGCAGAATTTTACATAATCACGCAGAAGAATTTGATTAAGTAGGTAAACTGGAGGTATTTGAATGTCTTCCGAGTCTTTTACCTCTCCCTCGCCCTCAAATCATTTTTATCAACTTTTTTTATCCTCCTACAATTTTTCTGTTTTGATCAATTGCATGCTACTCAGGTGTCTTGTATTTTTCTTTCTTTTGTTGTGCTAAGTTACTAATTTTTGTTGCAAATTTTGTGTCACAGATGGACAGCAAAGTGGGGCTGATGAAAGTCCCACTTATATCATGGAACACTTGGCAACTTTCTCCGTATCGAAAGATACAGGGATTGTGTACCCAGCCGATGGAATGCGACGCCTCCTGCAGCTAGAAAAAGCCAATGGAATTTGGTCTCAAAAAATGCAACTACGCCTGGAGCGGTCATGGGTGCTAATCATTGACCATGAAACCGGTGTAAGAGCCTCTTAAATGTATTTTTGACCCTATCCGGGTGAATGGAAGTGTGCTCAGTTCACTTTTGGAGCACAGAATCAATCAGTATCTGCACAAGAGCTTACAATTTATCCAAACTGGATGATATCTGATATTAGAACTTGGAACTTAAGTTGAAAGCAGGCTCCTATTGTCTGTCATGTGTTTCAAATTTTGCGAGCCAATGTTACGACGACTGGGTTGGATTGGGTTCATACTTACAGGGGTGGAAAAAAAATAATCAGAGTGCACAATCGTACGAAAAGATTCTGAAGAAATAGAGCTAGCTAAAGTTGTGTCTTCATGATTTCATCGAGCTTCTCAGTAAATGAAAGGGAATGATTCATAACCCGGTTCTTCTTTTAAAATTACATTGGTTAAATCACACCATCTGACATTGTTTTTTCCTTCCAAAACTCTATAGTATTGTCCTACTGTTTCAGTGTGTCATGGAGAAATTCCCTGTTTCTTTAATTCAAGAGCCAACTGCTTTCATGAGCCATGATCCAATGGAAATGTACAATAATATTCTTGTGTTTATTGTTGGGGAGGAAAGACAACCAGGACTTCACTCCGAAATGCATATTTTTCAGGTATGTTCCATCTACCCTGATATTGATTGTCACAATGCAATGTTTGGTGTTGGCTTCTGCGAGAGGCAAACTGAAACACTTTTAATGGCAACCAAAACGTAAGCAAGTAGGGAAGCAAATCATGTGGCTGGCAGTGCCCACAGTGAAACTCTTATTATCATCCAGTTGTCAAAAAAATATGTTTTTGCCATGCAATAAATTAGTTGGATTGAATTAATGCTTTTAAAATCGGACCAAAACACATTGCAACTGGAGTATTTCCGATGAAGTTATATACGCATTTTATTTGATCAATTCTCATTCAATTTTAATAAATTTATTTGCAAAATTTGTGAAATAGGGCTCTTTCAGTACATCCTCCAGCTTTTCAAGCATTCACATGAACATGCATTCACGTTCTGTAATGTGCCACTCATCACTCATTTCTGAGACCCTCTTCACACCCCCTTCTACTGAAGAAATCATTGCAATTGTTTGGCTTCTTCAAAATTTTTTAGAAATAACAGCTTCTTGAAAGCTGGTCAAGATTATTTTCTAGATAAATTTCCATTGTGAGTGGTGAAAATTTGAGAGGGAAGAAAAGAGACCCTCAAGAAGTTTCCAAAAAGCCAAAGTTGTCTCGTAGATTTTTTATGAACCTCTAAACCTTTTTGGACATAAAGTGATAATGAGTATTCTTATTCCTTAAATCCTCGTAAATCCTTCAATATACCTGCTCTATAAGCAAAATTATGTAAGATTGCCTGTATGCTTCATTTGAAACATTAAAAAGGTATCCTAACTGCTCAGCAAAAGACTCCGTAGACCAATTGGCGCTCTCTTTTCGCCAGTCCATCAGGATAATTTCAAATCCAGTTCTCAGCCCTGATTTTATTTTATCTTAGGTACAAGCATCGAATTTATTAATGGCCTCTATAACTTCTTGTTTGAAGTATGACGGTTTAAAATGATAATGAAAGAAGACCTACAAACGATTTGTGTCAAAATTTGTAACCCAGCAAGCCCAAACTGAAATGAAGGATTGTGGGCCTTTCTTTATCACCAATTGACTGAAGCATTTTGATTTCTAATTTATTTGGTGTTTCGTTTACTCCAAAATTAGTTTCATGTTTGAATTCCTTTGCAGTGCCAAAGTATTTCAGCTCAAGAACTGGTGGAGGACTTAAAATCATTACGAATAGGAAAAGTGCCAAGCGGACGACGTTCAAGACATATACCGCCCCCTCCTCCAACACCACCTCCAGACCCACCCACCAATGGAATCAATGTTAAAGAGCAAGTTTCAGTATTCAACGCAGTCGCTCATCGTAAGTATTTTTACTCTAATTGTAATCAGGAAATCAAATTATTGGGGAATCAAGTGCACAGTTTATTTTCAAAATCCGATATGAATCATTTTACATTGTTTCAAGATCTAGTTAACAAGTGAGAAAAACAGTAGCTGAATGATTTTAATCTTATAAGTATTTTAAATCCTAATGTATTTTGAAAAAATAATTATTTTTTTTTCAAAAAATCTTGTTTGGTCCCAAATCTGTGCCCTAGAGCTATTTTTACTTGAAAGTTACTGACACTGCAAAAATCCATTCTAGGCCTTGAAATCTTCAATAAGTCTTACAACAACACAGAAGATGGATCAAAATTTCTGCACAAAAAGTTTTTACATTCTGGGTGGAGGTGTTAAAAAATTAGTGGCCGCAGAGTAGACTTAGAACACACCCTGTATTCTAAGAGCTGGAATAATTAGCAATTTAATCTTGTGGCAGAGTTTTTGCACAGAGATCTGTGGTACAGGCATGAGGGAGGGAAGAAGGAGGAGTGTGGTGGGAAATGCTTCCATTACCTGTTACCTATGTTACAGTGTGGGAGGTGATGTGGCTTAGCACTTTCACCTAGACAATCTAATGACCTCGATGTAGTGCATCTACAGGTACCAAGGAAATAATTTTCTTTCAGTCTTTGCCTGGAGTCAGGTGAGCTTAGCCTGCTTCAGTTCTGCAAACTGTTGCCAAGTTTTGACTCATGGGTTTTATCGTTGCTAACTGTAGACGATGTAACTAAATTTTTATATCAGAGCAGTTTAGTCTGACCTTGTATTTTATTAATCAGGATACAGCAGGTTTTTTCTTTCTTCTTTTTGCAGTTACGTAGTCCAAAAATTTTATAGCTCTATTTTTCTCCCAATTTTTTTTATTTATTTCTTTATTTCTTTTTTTGTAAAAAAAATGAATTTTAGTAGATAATTCTAACAGATATAAGTATCTATCAACACAAAAGAACACATTGAGGGGGGAGGGAGAGGGGGGGCACTCAGAATACACACACAGCTCTAAATTTTAAACTGCCTAAACCAGGAATCATTTTTGTGCAGTTATTAAGAAGGGGGAAAAAAAGGTGAATACAAAACATGTTCTTTATCAGTTCAAAATTTAATTGAGCACAAAAGTAAGTTTTACCTAGAATTTTTTCTCAAAAAATCCTTCTCACAAGCCCAAGCCTGCATTGTGTCAGAAAAGGGGGGTTGTCAAGTTGAAATTATTACACTCCACTCGCATATCCGAGTCTCAATTATTTATTTTTTTACGTCCAAATCAAGGAGAAAAATTACTCTTGAATTTCAATATGAGTGTCCAGTATTTGAACTTAGTTTTATGTATTAGTATAACCGATTTTTTCTAAAATTCCCATTCTTCTCCCTTCTTCTCTCAGAAATTCAGATTCTTGCTTGTTTCATTAAGTCTCGCAGGAGAGGTATTCCATGCCCTCTTTTATCTTTTTGGATTGATCAAATTTTACAATACCATAAGATCAATTCTTGATTTTAGGAATAAATGCAGTTTGCCGGATGTTAATTTTTCATCAGCTGTAATCAAATGTAACAGTTTCATTACCTTTTATTACTGGGTTTAAATACCTAAATAATTATTTTTTACATGAAACTACTGTCAACCCCCCCTTCCCTTCCAATAGCTGGGACCCTCGTCAGAAACATAAAATATTGAGATGATTATAAAAAGGTGAACTAAAAATGTATGAAAACGAACATTTGATCAAAACTGTCAAGTGCAAAATGTGGCAATGTTGGATGATTGCTGTCAGCACTGACTTGGAATTGCTTGAGTGATCAGGAGCCTGGCTCAGCTCAGTCAGTTGTGACTGGCCCTGCCTGCCTCTTAATAACTCTTGCTCATCTGCCCTCTTCTTTACCCCTTCTTTTTCCCAATCTACTCACACTCTTTCCCTTCTTATTCACTTTCCCACTCCTCTCCCGCACACCCTTTCTCACTTTTATTTTGTCGGTAACTCGAGTCAGATGCACTAGAAGCTTGACGGTCAAAGTTTATTCATTATTTGGTTTCCCAGTGTATCTTTAGGAATTTTGAAATCAGTGTTATTGTGATTCTCACTTAACTTGTTTCATAATGGTCGAAGAGAGTTTTTTATCAACTTTTTTCGTGAACTGTAGAATGTTTTGTTTCTATTTGCTTTTCATGTGATCTCTCAAAAATAGCACCCAATGTGCGTGGTTCTTTGACGGTTTTCCACTGATTTTGATTCGAAGTTCGTAATTTTGTGCACATTTTCACTGCCGGAATACATTATCTTTCTATCGAATGAATAGTTCCAACAGCGGTGGAAAAGACACATGTCTGGATTTAACAAACGAAACAATTTACGCCTACAAGAAAAGATACATTTGTTGAAATTCTTGCCTGAAACTTTAATGTATTACTCCACGAGCTGTGTGAAACTTTTTCAGTTGCTTTACACTGATAAGTGTGTTTCTTGACTTTTTACCATGTGTGTTCAAAGTGATTCATTTTTTAAATGCAAGTAAATATTTTGTCGTTCTCAGATGTTGCAACTAATTTTTAATTTACTAATTGTCTGAAAATAAAGCTAGTAACTCAGCTAAGTTATAAATGGCATGCATAGTCTTCTTTTCTGCACCTCGTGTATGATATCGTTTTAATTTTGTGATACTGGTAGTACTGGTACTATCAAAACTTTTCTTTTGTATCTTAAAAAACATGGTTCCCCATGAATAATATTTCACTCACTGAAATCATAAAAGATGGTTAGCAGAGGAAAATATTTCAATGGATATTACCATTACTTTGGTAAGTTGTCGATCAGTTTGCAAATATTAGTTTCTTTCTTTACTTCGTTAACAGTTTGAATGAGTTGAAATATACTTTGGCTAAACTAATTAAGTAAAAGAGAATTCCTCCCCTGCTTCTATGATAAGATCCTGTAATAATGTACTATGCAATCAATCCTTTTTTTCTCTCTGTCTCTATTTACTACCGGATACAGGCTTTTGCAGTGTGTACATAATGATTTAGAAGTTATAATTTACTTTTTAAAGTTATTTTCTTTATGAAAGAGGGAGAAGAGAGGGGAGATTGGTAAGATCATTTTAGAATTAATTTTGAACAACAAGGTATTAACTCAAGATTTTGTAGAATTGTTGCCAGCAATTTGATTTATGGCGCATGCGTCTAAACCTTTTTGCTCCAAAGTTTCCTATTTACTCTTGCATCATCTATAAGAAAGGGACCTGACTTGTCTTCCCTTACCAAATTAGAATTACTTGAATGGAATGAAGGACTTGAACTTTCCTCAGTGGAGTCCATCCATCGGGTTCACGCTCCAACGGTCTCAGAACCTAGTGGTGCATGGCCTCCTGCAGGTCGAGTGTCAAGAGTCGGTGTAGATGCTGCTCAAGTTTAAAAGCCAGTCAACTAAGAAGGTGAACCAAGGGAGCGTAGACCAATAAGCATTACATTCAATAAGTGGATGCCTCTCAACTGCAGGTGGAAGAAGAGAAGCAATAATTACAAAAACACCAGTCACTGACTTCTTTTTCTCATTGCTTTAATATCACTTTACCTCCAACAAGCAGAACTGGGATTCCTGAATATATTATCATCATCATTTTTTGTTTTTTTGAATATAACTTAGATCAACGCTCCCTCTTTGTCCGTTCAAATTTTTGAACTCACCATCATCTCTTTATCCTCTTTCATCAAGCATTTATACTTTTTAATAAAGGAATCTCATGGATTATTTTTAATTGGAGAAGAATGTGAACCATTTCTGCTATGGCCATGTCAAATTATAGAGAACATTTTCATGGAACCACAAGGTTTTTTTAACTCTTTTTTTTTTCTAATGGTACAGAAAAGTTCATTGCAAAGTTATAGCATACTGCAACTGGCTACGTCTCAAATGCTTGACTGAAAAGGAGGTATCTGTTCAATCCAAGGCCCCAATGAAAGGTAAATTTAAGAGAACGTTGATTATCTCTAGGGAGCGGTCTGTGGAGCCATGAAAGCAGAACAGAGGCTCAAAGAATGTGTTCATGGCAGCAAATTTTTTGACACATGTAACATAAGTTTTCTCGATAAAATGATCCTCTATCATCTTACTGTTTTTGATGAACCTGCATACCTCTCTTTCCTCATAAGCTGAGTTTTCAATTTTTTGTGTTGCAGATAGTGGTGGAACCAGTGGAAGTGGTGAAGGTTATTCTAGGGATGATGAGACAAGCTCAACTTCGAGTGAAAAGTACGAACGAGATGTTACAATTCTAAATCATTGTTTTGACGATATAGAAAAATTCATCGCGAGGTTACAGCATGCTGCAGCTGCTTCTCGAGAGCTTGACCGGAGAAGGAGGTAAGCCAAAGCTTTGTTGAAAGGTAAATCTAAAAGAATGTTCAATGTCTCCAGTGAGTAGTTTACAGGGTCATGGAATGAGAGTGATTTCAAGGAATGTGCTCATTGCTTGTAAAGTTAGTGATGAAGAGTTCATGGAGTGAAACTGCCCGTTCAGCTATGAAAGACCTGCATCGTTAAGTATTGATATTATTTTGAAGATCAGGGAAGGAAGGTTCCTTATCCTGTTGCAAGGGGGCATTTCTAGACCTTCAGCATTGAGAAAGAATTGAATCAGCGAGAATGAAAACGCAACAACTCGGAAAATTGAAAATGTGTAGGAAACAATGAATAGCACAGTAGGTGAAGAAGTGAGTATGAGAAAAAGCTTTTGGTACTTCTGCTTTGAGAATTCCTGATCGCTATTTCTAACTTTCCTTTTGCGTCCGAATATGTCTACTCATAAGCCAAACTAAACTCTAAAAAAATCGAAAAAACATGAATTGGTTTGTTTTCATTATCAAGTAATTGAAGATGGTGGCCAAATAAGTTTTAGCAGTCATCATAATGACGTACACTGCTCTCAACTTTTTCTTTATGACTTCTAAAAGCCCCCTTCACATCTGCTCTTGAAGCTTAGCACTAATTGTTTAACATCTGCTTGAGAGACAACCCGTGCCAACTAAGTTGAACAATAAGTTTCATTCTTAAGTCTCGCTTTTGCATTACCTATTTTCTGGGGTCACCCTATCTTAACTCGCATTGAAACACTCCATGTAACCAGTAAGGACATTTTGTCGACCAGGAGTCTACGTTCTCCAAACTAATTATCACTTCTTTTAACCTTTTTTAGAATTATCTTTCACCATCTCTTTTTCTCAATTTTCAGAAGCCGAAAATCAAAAAAGAAAGATTTAGGGGATGGAATGTTGACGATGAGGGCCAAGCCTCCGCCAGAGATCGAATTTGTGGATATCTTTCAAAAATTCAAATTATCTTTCAATTTGTTGGTAAGTTAGACAAAATTTCTTGTTTTATTTCATAATTCTTTTACCTAGCTCCTGTTAACTTTTGTTCATCATTAATCCTAAGAACTTGTGCAGGGTTACGAACTCATAAAATGTCAGGGAAAACCTAGAAAAATCTAGGAATTTTGTCCAACCCTGAGTAGTCAGGAAACTTTATTGTGGAACTAAGAAATATTATCTGCTAGCCAGAACATTGCATTTTTTCGATTTCAAGAAACGAGGCATTTAAAATTTTTTGTCAAAAAAATGTTTATAAGTGATCATGCCTTATTAAACATTGAAAAGTCCAGGACTTTCATATTCAAAATCATTGTAAAGTCAGGGAAAAGTTATGAAATTTTGAAATCCAATAAAACTGGTCACAGAGTATTAGGACTTGTTATTTACTCATGTCACTCACAATTATGTAAGATTCTGAGTCAATTACCTAAATTTTCAATGGTTCTTTTCTCAGCATTAGTCGACTGGTGTAACTTTCTTTTTATCATCATGCTAAATAAAAAAGAAACTTTCTTCTATTTCTTTATCTTTTGTTTTTAGGCAAAACTGAAAGCGCACATTCACGACCCGAATGCACCAGAGCTAGTTCATTTTCTTTTCACTCCATTAGCCTTGATTGTAGATGCATCACACGATACACATTATGGACCAAATCTACCTGCCAAAGTTGTGTCACCACTGCTCACACGAGAAGCAGTCAATCTTCTAATGAATTGTGTGACCAGTAAAGAAACGGAGCTGTGGCACTCCCTTGGGGATGCATGGCTCATACCAAGGTAAATCCATTCTATACATTTTTTTTATTAAATATCAACTCTTTGGAGCAGAATAAATCATCCCTCTATTGTGTTGTAACGGCTACCGCTCTTTGAAGGACACTTATTGTATCCATTTTTCAATGCCAAAGTTCTCTCTTCTATCAATCAAGTGCTAAAAATTTAAGCAAAGAGAAACATGGCAACACTATCAGCTTTATCACTGGTCCTCTGTAATTTTACCATAGGTTATTTCTTCATACATAGGGAGCGTTCATAAATTACGCAACTAACGTTTTCGGCATATTTGACCCCCCCCCCTTGTAACGCTCCTGTGATGTAGGTCCCTATCCTCAAGTACTTAAAAACATGAGAATGTAACGCTCTCCTCAACCCCCCTCACACTCATTAACAATAACACTCATAAACCCCCATTAACACTCTAATTGTACATTTCGGCTGAGTGGGCATCATTAACATCAATAAAATCTTCATAATTTTACAAAAAGGAAAGCAGAAAATAGCAGCAATTCCCTCACCAAAGCTTTCACCTAAATGAATGCGGAAACCTATTTGTGCTTATGTTATTGCTATCTTTCGCAGAGATCAATACAAAGGTCCAGTGACCCCATATCACCCAGTATTCTTAGACGGCTGGTCTCCCGATTATCCATTATCGGACGAACGAGAGCAGATGGGAGTGTCTTTAGGCTCTGCAGCTGCTTCAGAAGCAAAAAGACAAAGAGCTGAAGAAATCAGAGCTGCGCAACATGAGGTATAGTCGCTTTTAAATTATTGCATGAATTGTTGATCCTTACTTTTGTCATTATGATACGTTTCTACGGATCTGACTTCTAGAATAATTACTGAAAGAAGTCACCAACATAAAATGCCTTGAGAAAGCATGAAGTTCAAAAATTCCAGCTCTCTTTGTTTTTCCCATTCAATTCAATCTCGATAGAGTAGTAACAATGTTTAAGAGTCCTTCATTAAGTCCATAGTTGGTTGTCAAACTTCCCTGTTGTTTAATATATCGACATCTTGATCAAATTTTTGATTTCCTGAGAAGGGATTTTTCACCAAAACATAATACCACAGCGATAAAGCACAAAAACATAGCCCGAATATACGAATAAAGAAGGAGAGAATTAAAATATGGGTTAACAAGACTAAAACATAAATACACTAAAAAGCAGGACGTTTCGAGTGGTTACGTGATAACGGCTGGGGTCGGGTCGCCACTCAATTTTTTTCCTATTTTTTATGTGTTTTTGCAGTTGAAAATGAGCTGGTAACAGCTCGAAACGTCCTGCCTTTTAGCGTTTTGAATGTTTTAGCCTTGTTTACCCATATTTTAATTCTCTCCTTCTTTATTCATAATACCACAACTAGTATAATATACCCAATAAATTTCTTAAATAATTTCTGTTTGTGCTTTCAAGATACATTTGCATAAACATTTAAACCACTTTGCCAATAAATTACCGCATTTCTCCCTTTTGTAAGGAAAAGCTCAATTTACTCAGAGGAAATCATGGTCTCTGATGAAAAGTTGGCAGCATTGGGGTTACCCATGACTTCGAAGCGAAAAACTAACACTGAATCAAAGTGCACAAGTGTCATTGCAGGCTCAGATGGCCAGCTATGCATGCGCTTTTCAGTTCACTGCCAGCGTTTCTTGCCTCAAATGGACTTCATTTTGCAATTTGGACCTATAAATTCTGACTCATCTGAAAAAACACTAATGTGTATAGCGAAACTAATGGCACATACGTTGTTTTTAAACCGGGCCGGAATTTATAGGTCCAAATTGCAAAATGCAGTCCAAATAATGACTCATCCCAAAGCTGCCAACTTCCTTTACAAATCAATGATTTTTCTGGGAAAATTGAGTGTCTCACACTTTTTTCCCAAAAAAATCTTCAAATTTGAATTTTTTTCTTGCAGGCTGAATTAAGAGAAAGTCACTATCATCCAGACAATTTACACTACAGCAGCGATTACCCTGAATTTGATCACCCAGAATCTACACCCAATCCTGGACCTTCCAATAGTAGATATTCCTTTGAAAATCTGCGCTATTCCAGAGATGACCGGTATGAACCTCTATCTATTGTATCACCTCTACATATGTTTTCCCTTATTTTTCCGAAATTATATCTGGTTAAAGAGAATGGCATCTCAAGAAGAGAGCGTATCCGCAATGTAAAAGTATGCGAGATCATGGGTGTAGAGAAGGACATCGTGCACGATATCAGGTCCAAGCAGTTGGTCTGGTATTGACATGTGTAAAGGATGGCAGACGACCGGTTGCCCAAGCAGGTCTTCGATTGGGTTCCTCCCGGAAGGCGACGGCGTGGACGTCCTGTGAAAGGTTGGCGACAAGGGGTGGAGGAGGAGATCAGAAGGTGCCAATTGCCTGATGATCTCTGGGAGGATAGGGGGCAATGGCGATTGGGCGTCGCAGAGCGCAAGGCGGCGCTATAAAAGCGACTGTATGTATGTATGTAAAGAGAATTTTTGGCGGTACATCAACGTGTTTAGAGTCACGAGGTTCCTTGGATTATATTCCACTGGACAAAGGTAGTAATCGATGACCCTAGTAAAAATCAAAATTTTTAGAGGTTCAAAAGTGATCATCTCTGCCACATTTTAATTAACGTGAAACTCTCTTGTCTCATTCACATCTCATTAATGTATTCTAAAAATAAAAATAAGGAGCCTCGCTTTCTGACTGGGGTGTCTCCTGTTGGGTTTAAACTGGTAAATGTCAAGAAATTCAATGACATCAGGAAAATATGAGGAAAATAGATCATTGATCAGGAACTTCAATGTGCGTTAAGCATTTTTCAACCACATGCCGTTTAGCATATGCAAAAGTGAAAGATACAATTCATGAAATATCTTAGTCTGTAAAATCAAATGAGTGTCAAATTAATCACTCAAAAATTCAAGAAACATTATTTAAAGTATCAGGAAAATATCAGAAGAATCCAAAATGAAATTTAAGGAGACATCCTGCTGATGGACCTCTGTATTTGACGGCAGGCAGAGCTTCTCATCCGTTGTTTCTGCAACATCCTGTAGTGCATGAAATTCGTCCAGTAATGTTCAATCTTGTTTGATTCCAGGGATCGTTCACACAGTCCTGGTGGAGGATCAGAGAGTGAATTGCCGAGCTCAGTAGCTCACCGTGAAAGAGATATTTCAGCGAGAAGTGACATATCTGCAGACTCAATTGAGCGAAATGGTGGCAATGGCGAGAGATTCGAGAGGACCCAAGCTCGTTGGCTGGAAGATTTAAAATCTCAAGGCTCCAAAATTGTTCAAGTTACGTACCCGCGAACAGCGAACAATGACAAGGAATTAACAGTTATTAGAGGAGAGTTCTTAGAGGTGAGTTAACTCTTGTAGTCTGTATTCTGTCAGAAGTTCTAATGAAGAAAATGTGCATCCTGATCCAGTACTGAAAATGTTTTACACTGTGACAGGTCAAATCTGAAACTTACCTACCCAAATTCAAATCTAAATTTTTGTTTGTAAATGCTGGTGAATGTTGCTTTATTGACACTTTAATGAACAGAAAGTTTCGTTTGTGCCAAAATTCAAAATGACATTAGCAAGCTTGAAGTACATCAGCACTCGCTTGAAAGAATTGGTCTACCTTTCCCCCCCCCCTTTGAAAAATCAGAATTTTTCATGGAAAATCAGAAATTGAAAATTCAGAGAGTTTTCAGTGACTTCCATAGAAGAAGTGTAGGATTATCTTTGAAATTAGCACATTGCTCATGAGGGGGAAGATGACCTAATATCCGATATTTGTCACATGAAATTACTCACAATGAATGTATTAAGTACTTCTGTTTTATCACGGAAGTCAAAAGCGCCATTGAATTATTCTATCTAAAAAAAAAAATGAAGTAAACAGAGGAAGACTTCAAGAAGCCAGGATAACAAGATATTTACTCGTAAGAATCAGATTCAAGGGAATAACAGGCAAATTTATGGACAAACGGTTAAATACACCTATTCCGGACCCTCGTTTTCACAAAATTGTTATTTTTTTGTCTGTAGGGAATTCTCCCTGAGCCACATAATCTGTCATAATGAATAGTTCAATTTATTTCTTGCAAAACAGGTGTGCGTAGTTTTAGTATGAGAATTTCTGATGTATTTAAAATGGAAATTATCAGAAAATAAGATCTAAATACAATCTCAGTCCTGTAAGTAGAATTAACAGCAAGAAAATATTTTCTTGGAAGTTTCACATCTTTTTCTTTTACAAATTAATCATTTTTTTTTTGTAAATTATCGTAGGTTTTGGACGATAGTCGTAAATGGTGGAAAGCACGCAACAGCCAGGGACAAATTGCTCACGTACCTCATACCATCGTGACACCATATACTCCGTCCATGAGTGCCAATGATGTTGATGTTTTTAGTAATCCTCTGTACACTAGGGGCTACGACAGACATTATTCTCCTCAGGTAAGAAAAATTCCTAATTATATGTCCCAATTTCTCTGAACGTAGGCGGGTAGAAAATTGGGAATTACAACATCCTGGATTGCTGATCAGTGATCACACTTAAGAAGATAGAAGAGATCAAACTGTGGTGGAACAGGAAGAAAAACTAATAACATCGACTTGCTAATCTTATCCTGTAGAATGCGTCAAAAAGCGAATTTTATTTATAGTTCCCAACCTCCCTGGGAAGTTCTGTCCTGGTTTGTCTCATCAATCACCAACACCGTTGTTACCAAATTCGACCAATTAGATCTGTTAGTTTTCGATAGGTTGAACCTTTTTTAGAACCACCTCGCATGGTGGTACCAAAATCATGCACCAACACTGCAATTCGTTAGTCACCGAATCGGAAGTTTCGAACACAAATATAATGGCAGCTCGGAGGTTTGAACACAAAAATAGTATCGAACCTCTAAATAAAATTCGCTTTAAGTCACTAACCCATAATAGTCTTGCCCAAATTGTCAGGCGATATTGGTCCTCGGCCATTAATAATCTTATGAAAGGATAGTGAAACTTGATGGTTTTCCAGGTTTTTTTCTCTTTCATTTTATTTTAAATTGTCTGAAAATTTTGAAATTACCATTGTGCTTATCTGAAATGAGAGTAGATCTTGAAAATTTATCGTGGATTTAAGCTTTGAAAGAAAAATTAGGAAGTTATTCCTTTACATCCTATCATGTCACTTGAATTAAATTGTCAACTTTTCCAACATGCTCTTAAATCTGTTAATTTTTTTAATTGATGTATTTCTCCTTGCGTACAGGATACTCCAAGAGGAGAAAGAGAGAGCATGGGAGGCGGCTCAGAACTCTCGAGAGGCACTCGTTCCCCGCCAATTCCACCCCCTGCTCCAGCGCCGGCTGAATGGGTGCGCAAAGAAAGACTCGGCAAGAAAGGTGAATTCAGATACTTCTAAAATCCATTGTTATAATATGCTGGCATAACTAATTATGTGTAATCACAAATTTCTTCTAAATAATCGAATTTCGTTTCTTGTCTTGTTGCATTATCTAGTTTGTTTCAAATTAAATATGTATTTTATAGATTGTTATGTACTTAAAGAGACTATTTTAAAATATTTTATTCTATTTTGTGTCTTTGTATTGTAATTAATATATTTTTACATCTTCTGCAATACTTTTTTATAAATTACCTCCAGATTAAGAATGAACATTAAATGATATTTGTTGTCTACTTTTACTTTGTTTTTTAACAGAAAAATGTTGCATCGCAAAAAAATTTTCAACTATTGTGAAAAATTGTCTCCAATTTTATTTTTATATATAAGAAACTTATCTATTCTAGACATGCATTTTTAACATGCGGGTTCTTGTTATGATTTTTCTATCCGTAGCTGTGTCACTGTGTGCCCATCAATATTTATTACTAATAAAATTTTTGACCATACTTAGCTAGTAAAAAAAGAAGCATTGGAGCCATTGATACCTATGCTGTAATGCTAATCCATGTGTGCATTTCAATAAATTTTCTTAATTTTCATATGTAATGTACGTTAAGATAGACGAATAGACAAAACGCACAAGTGTGTCATCCTTGTAACACCGGCTGTACACTTTGTACATGTAAATCTGTTCCCTCAAACATAGCTGATCATCAAAGTCCTCAAGGAGATAATGAACCTCACTTTAATTTACTTAACCAGCTCCTCGATTGTTGAATCGTTATCGAATGACCTTGATCGATATATAGCATTGTTAAGATAGGGGTTTATCGATCAGAAGCATTCGATAACGATTCAACAATCGACCCGCAGGGTTTATAATGAAGTCTTTGAGGCAAAAAAGCAATTAGATAAGTTAGAATTTTACAATCGTGTTTAATAATTACCTACCATTAAATGCAGAATGTATTCAGAAGGTCTGATTTATGGAAGCCTCGAAAATTTCACCTTACACACCTCCATCTAAACAATGCGTTTGAGCAACTAAAAAGCTCTGAGCAAGTGGATCTATTTTAGGGGTGGCACTACTTTGCTCTACCTTCGCTCCCCTTTAAATAAGAAGACATCATCTTCTTAGAAATACACCAGAGCTGTACTATGAAAAAAGTAAAAGCAAAATTAAAGAACCTCGGTAAGCTCTACAATAAAGTTCAAGCTTAGATAGAGGAAAGTGAAAGATAGGTAAACCTCTCTAAAGAAATCTATATGTAATGAGGTTGTAGCTTTATTGTCTGAAAATGTTCGTTTTTTGTCGTGACTTTCTGTCCGTTAAACCTAAAAAAACTAAAAAAAAAAAACCCTGTAAAATCCTTTAGACTTGTACAAAACTCCATCAGTTCATTAGATCATCATGTTAGAATTAGATAAAATTGAACTGTCTGTTACCGTCCAAAAGTGTATTAAAATTTTCTAAATATAAATTCTCTCTCACTCAAATCCTTAGAATTTGTTTTTACTTCCTTTCCCTCTTCTATTGTTCTGCTACTGAGCAGTGGTGTTCATCAAGCAACCAGTCTGAATATTAGCATAATTGATTGATGGAATTCAAGGTGGAAGAAATAATCTTCTTTACTATAAGCTCCGAGGCCTCCTAATTTTGCATAACTGGTAACGCTCAGTTCCAGCATTCTACCGGGCCGATTTTCATGATTTTTGCGGCTATCGACGGGCAATTCTCTCTAGATTAGCCCGTTTTATTCAGTTTTTCAAAATATGACCCAGGTTTTTTTACATTACAAGGTAAAGTTGCGAATTATCCCATTTAAACAATGTAAATTTATATTTTTTGTCATAGTTCGTTTGAGCGTTCTACCGGGCCGATTTCCATGATTTTTGCATAAATTGACAGGTAATTGGCCCTAGATGAGCCCGCTCTAATCAGATTTTGGAAATAGGACCCAGGTTTTTTTAAAATCACGTTATAAAAGTGAGAGAATTTACAGAATGCTCCGGGACTGCTACCGCTATGCGCGGGAGGATGCGCAGTGGTCGAGGAGGTTGCGCAGTAGCTGTTTGGCCTACGCATCAGCTCTATACTTATCTACACAAGATTTGCGCTGATTACTCCATACCGAGCAGTGGCCGAGTCGTCTAAGACGTCGGTAGCGTCCACCTGACTAAAGGTGTGGGTTCGATCCCCGACTTCTAAGATACTAAGTTGTTACCTGATTATCATTTTTCGTTGTTTTACTGCAATATTTCATCAAGCAGTCATTCCAAAACGCGTCCTCTTGACTTCAAAAAAAAATTTTTCTCTTTATTCATCAAAACCAAAAATTATTTCATTCTAAAAGTAAAGTATACCTCATATCGTAATTTTAACACTGATAGGAAGGTAAAAATAGCGGCCCCCTAGTGAATTATAATGGGCACAGCCCCCTAGTGAATTATAATGATTAAGTATTTAAATTAAATAATTAAGTAAAGAGATTCCGTCACGAATTGCTATGTTATAAACCATAGCTTAGTCACTAGAGTACGAAGAAATATCATGTAAAGAATAATGGGGTAGGAAGGAATCAGAAATTCATGATCTTTAAGTTTTCCATAGGTAGTTTATTTTTCATGAAAGAGAACAAACTTAAAAAAGTAGAAAAATGTCATTAAAAAATAGGCTAACATTTCAAAAATAAGGAAGATTTCTTCTTGGTAGCAGTCTTTGTTTCTTATAAAGAGGAGTTCAACAAATGGAGATGCCAACATGCAGCAAGTCCATACTGAGATAAAAGTTCAAATTTTAGGGGCGCTCAAAAGTCCTTAGAGCTTCACAAGGTCTGTTTTATGTCAATAATACATACTTTCAGGAGTATTTCCACATTGAATAATTTATTGATAAGAAAAAATTTCTAATGCAACTTTCAGGTCTTAAATTTTTGCTATTTTCCAAGTATATCATTTGAGAATGATAATGATAAATTTCATTCAAAGGTATGTGAAGTCTATTCTTGGGCCAAATTTTGATGGGTCCTTCCACTGGTACTTACATATACTTAGGACGAGTTAATGACTCCATTAGAGTCCATCCTAGTGCTTCTGATTGGCCAGTGATGCAATTTGGACTCGTTGACAGGTTTTACTTTTCTGTCTTAAAGTGCCGACAAAATACAGCCCTTGGTTCAAATTTTTTTGAAAATAAAATTTGATTAATTTGATCCGGTTTCAAAGCACGAACACAGGCATCGGTAAAACCTAAGAAAGGTTAATAAGAAAAAAAATTTGTCTTCTAAAAATTTAAAGTAGCTAAGTGATGAAATATAGTGACCTTGATTTGATATTCTTTTTATGATGAACCGAAAGCTTGCTTTGTACCGACTAGACAATGAATCGATGTTTAGCAGGAAGAATTAAGTAATGAAATCGGTCAACAATAAAAAACTTAGAAATTAGTTCAGTCAATGTCTGTTACTGCTAAATTACATATGCTATCACAAGGACAATTCAACATTGTTGTAAAAATAGATAAATAGATGGTGGAGTTTGTAATGATTCTGAATATAAAGTTTTGAAGAACAATCATTTTAGGAACAGTCAGATCATTCTTGATCGCACTTCCATACTTTCCTCTCCTGGAAACCAAGTGCACATTGACACAGAACTCTTGTTCATTTTACAAATTTTAACAGAAAAAGATGAGCAATACATTTGATCCATACTAAATTTAAAACTAATTTTAGAAATATTACTTTCATTCGATGGTTCGTTAAAAAAACTTGTGTCCAAAATAATCACAGTTCAGAGATGCTTTTCTCTCCAGGCATAGAGTAAAAATTACATTGAATTTAGAGATCCCTTTAGATATTATTAGAATATTAAAGAACATTCTATTAGTTGACTTTTGGGCCGAAAGAAAAACACAAAGGGCTCTGTGAGACTCACAGGTAATAAATCAAATTTTTCATTCTTACTTTATGATTAGTTACGTAAATCATCCCTGCATTTCTATGAAAAATTGGAAGTGAAACTTTCATTTACAAATTGTAAGAAGCCTGAGAAATAAAAATTGTACCACATTAAATGTGTTTCTAGGCAATCAAAGGAGGAATTGAAGGTTCATAGGTGCATAAAATCAAGAAATTCTTAGTTACCAGGTCCCTCATTGGCTTGACTAGAGTTGTTCCGAACACATATTCTGTTCGCAGGGAAATTCGCCGACTGGCAATGAACTCACACTTGTAATTACAATGAACTCACGTGCAAAAGATTTGATCCACCTAGCTCTGCTCTTTGCAGATACTTAGGAGTTATATTCGATATTTATTATTAATAAATGGTATTACGGTCTTACAAAAAAAAAAAAATTGCAATTTCAAAGAGTCCAGCAGAATATTTCCATGATAGGTCAGAATGTCACTGAAAATACCCTATTTGATACTTCTTACAGTCGAGGAGTTTTTACAGGGTTCGATTGGATCCCTTAATAAAGCTGTACTGGCAGTTTCCTATGTAAATATCATTCAAAGAAATTGGTAATTAATAGAGTATGTGGTTAAATTCATGAAAATAGTAGAAGCATTTGATTTGCTTTAAAATTAGTGACAAAATTAAGAAACTTACAGAATACATAGATGTATATTTAGTGATTCAATTCAGCAAGGCAAGATCTGCACCGATAAATTAAATGATTTAAAGCTGATCATAGCCTTCAAAGACCTTGATTTGTCATTCATAAAAAATCAGTACGCAGATACTCACTTTCAAATTCCCAGAGAAATCATGGAAACTTAAGTCAATGGGATAGTCTCCAATGGCATGATTTTTTAGGACCTTGCCAGAACTCCATTTGAAGGACAAAATAGAGAATTTTCCTTCGAAACACGACCTACGTCCTTTTAAAGCAAGGTTTCCTTATGAGCACATTCTGATACATGAAAAAACTTACTTTGACAAAAAAAAAAAACATATGATCGTTACAAAAAAATTATAGCACCCTGTGTACATTCATAATAAGGCAGAGCTTCAGAATCTTTCATAGAATAAGTCTCTCGGTGTTGTTGCTGTAAACTAAATTATTAGAGATTGATTTAACTAAGAAGCATTAATAAAGAAACATTGTTAATTCTCTGTTGATCAATCAACTTTTTCTGATTAAGTACAAAATAAAACATTTCGCAGAAATCTCTTTCAGAAACGAAAAGACTTAAATCATCCCCACCAAAATTTTTTAGCTGATTCTTAACTTGAATGATAAAGACAAGACAAGATGTAATATATTTCCCTTTGTGGGAAACAGTACCGTTTGAAGTCCATGCTGAAGTTCTTGCATAGGAGTGAAAAAACTTAATATTTCTTGTTATTCTACATACAAGGCGGAATGCCAGTAAATGCTCAGATCACTACCGCAGCAACAACTTACAGAGTCTCACTTCAAAAGATACTCAATTGTTTGTTACTCAGGACAGAGTGCATTTTTGTTGCTAACTAGAGTTCCTTAAAAATTTACTAGGTATTTCAAGATTTTCAAAGTACTAAATAAAATTCTTAAAATTTGACACATAAGCAAACTATGTGCCAAGAAATGAATCTGCAATGGCGAGACATTTCTTTCATCATTCAACATGCAACAGGAACTGTTACCTAAAGCTATGATGACGAACATCTTCTAATGCCCTTACAAATGAAGCCACTGTACACTTCTAAAACATTAATCAACTCGTAACAGAAAATAAGGACTTAATCCAAGGAAATTCTGAACAGAGCTCTCAAGATGATCCGTCGAGTTTATCGGTTTGTTAAAATAGGTTCATAACTGGCCAGTAGAGCCAAAGATGAGCTTCTGAAAATTTGAGCTCTTTTGTGGTCCCCGAGGGAGGAGAAAATCTTGTACAATGTTAAATGCGACAGAATAGAATGAGGTGAGATTTGGATGGCCAGTGATGCCAAGAGCAGCGCTTCATTGGGCTGACCAATCGTAAGTAGAATGTATGAGACGATCATGAATGGACTATGTCGGTATTCTTTGGGAGATGCACTTACCGCCTGTTGCAAGCAAACAACTGTCTTCCCTGCATCACCTGAGTATCTCCAAAACAAGGCTGAAATCGTTGCAGTGCTCCAAATATCTGAATCCTTTAAGATTGTTTCTAGATAGTCTTTGATTCTGTCGGCACTTACATCATCACTGTTTGCAGCTATTTTCAAGACCTGAAGACAAAAGGCAGAACAAATAGCAAAATTACGACAGGTTACCACTGACTACTTTACAGAAAAATAAGAAAAGGGAAGGCTGAGGGAAAAAAGGCGGGTAAAGAAGGAAATTGACATTTCCCGATGGTTACATTTTGATGAGGAGTAGCACTGGAAAGCTATATACCTAAATAAGGCAGGTCGAATAAAAGGGGGGCATCCATAAGGGCAGTTCTTGGGCCCATCCCCCTTCCCCATCCATCCTTATTACTGGCCTAAACATGGATCTGAAGGCTAGTTTCTGCAGAAAATGCGGAGTTTTTGACTGCATACCCACAAAATCAACAATTTTCGTCAAAATCGGCCATCAGACCCATTTGTAGGTCAGTATTAGACTAAAGAAGAAACCGGGAAGGACCAAGTCATGGTGCATTTCGTAAAATATAGACCTTTAATGAGGAAAAAATTATAAATTTGAGAGAAGCCAGATAGGGTGGGCTAAAAACGGCCCTTAGCGACACTCCTCCTTAGCTCATAACTGCTTAAAATGTTTCTATCTAGTCAAAATTCTAATTACAAAATTCTCGTCTTAAAATTCTTGATGACAGTAGGATATCAATGGCTACGGAGCAATACCTCTTATCAGCAAATTGACAATTTTACAGGACGAAAGAAGAGCTTCGCCGTTTCTGCAATTCTGAGGTTAAAGGACCCCGCACTCCTCTTATGGGAAGCTGCACCATGAAGGAACGTTAATTATTTATCTCATTCGATTCTCCCCAAGATGCTGATCAAAAATTATAATTGCGCCAACTTTCTACGATGCACCGTTCTCGCAAAAAACCGCTGAAAAGATTCAATTATTCGGTGATAAAAAGCCAGAAAGATTCCTCATTCCAGTACTCGATTGACAAGCGGCTGTGTGTCAGTGAACATTAAACAGACGCGTCGAGAGCGGGAGGAGGGGGATAGCCCTAGGGTCGGCAGGTACAGATAAGAAGACGGACACGCGCTACGTTTTTTCCTTATTTACATCGGGCCTGTTCTCAAATGCTTTGTTCTTTTTTATTCATTGTCGCCGTATAATTGAATCTCCTCGGAGGTTTTTTGCGAAAACGGTGCATCGTAGAAAGTTGGCGCAATTATAACTTTTGATCAGCATCTTTTGGAGAATCGAATGAGATAAATAATTAACTTTCCTTCATGGTGCAGCTTCCCATAAGAGGAATGCGGGGTCCTTTGCGATTTTTTACATATTACGGTGTTCCCTGCAGAATTGGAAAAAACTAAAAACATCAACTTGTGTATTTTATACTGTAAAATGCGGCAAAATCGCTAAATTATTTTTGCCAAAATTGTTAGTTAGGCAGTATTGTTCCTTAGCCATCGATGTTTAAATGTTGAATAATTACCTTCAAAAGTTTCGGTTCTGGGGTCATTGGCTTCCCCTCAGTATATGTGTCAACAGTGAGATCTGGAATGATACTCTCTCCAAGTTGGCATTCAAGGCTTCCACTTTCTGTCGAAGAATCGACGGTGGGTGGAATATTCAGGAGTGATAAAAGACTAGCACTCATATCAGCCTGTGAAATGTTTTCTAAGAACTCATCCTCATCGTTAATTTCCTCTTTGAATAAAACAGATAACTGGTCATCATCATGCAGAGCTGAAAATTTCAGTTCTTGAGCAACTGGATCTGTCTCTTTGCTGCTGAGACAGAAATGTTTCGAACATTTCGAAGCGAGGTTGATTTCAGCAAAGTTTGGTTCACTCAGTCCAGTTTTGGAGGACCTCAATACCTCGGAGATAAATTCAAACTCTTGTCGTAGGATTTCACTTGCTTCTACTGAATCGATAACCAGTCCGAAAAACTTCTCTTTATTGAGAGTAACAACATTACTAAAATCGTCATGGAATGCAATGGTCACTTCAGAGTGTTGTAAGGCTTGTTTATTAGCTGCCAGTTTCTTAAGATTACTTTTAATGCTTTTAATAAGGTCGGATATTTTCTCTTTCAGTTGGAATGCTTCGTCTACATTTCCTACAAACGTTCCTACGTTTTCAAATCCAACCTTATTCCGAGTGAACTGACGCAGCTCTACGTCCTCTTTAAAACCAGAGAAACTATTTTCGTCTCTTTCACGTTGATCTGCGACTTGACTGAATCCGTTATGATCTCTTCTAGGATGCTCTTCTATTAATAATTTTCCGGTTTCGAAGTATGGAAGGGGCTGAACTTGGACTACTGGTCGTACAATTTTCGGTGCATCCGAATTTTGCTCTCTACCGCTAACATCATTAACGTCAATCAACAACTCAAGTTTGCCATCATCATCTTCATTTTCCATGCTAGATTTGAGACTATCGTTGAAATCTGAATCTGTTAGCAGGGCTTTCTCGGAGGGACTAGAATTTCCTGAGGAAGGCTCTTCGATATTCTCTGAGACGTCAGTTTTTGTGTCTTTAAAACCAGTGGCACTTTTACACTGTTCGCTTGCTGAAGTTTTAATGCTTTTGACGGGTAATTGCAGTTCATCTATATTCTTGAATTGAGGAGACGAGGCTTTCACGTTGAGCTGTGGGGGCTCGATAGCAAAATGCAGCAGCTTTTCATTGATTTTCAGGATCTGTGTGGGTAAAATAAAGAGGAATTAACACTCTAAGAATTGATATGACAAAGTAGAGTGGATAAATAGGAGTAATAAAGAATGAAATCTGGAATCTTGATATTTATTTCTACAGTTTTACTGTTAATGTCCGGATGGCCACTTTGATGAAGAGAGCACGCCGATTTACAGTTGCAAAAAAATACCAATACTAGCTAAATTTCAATGTTACTTGATATAATGCTCTTTGAGATCTCCTGAGCAAGATGAGTTTTAAAATCGAATTTTCTTTGTGCCAATATTGAGAAAGACGCAGTTGAAACAGGAATTTTTGGCCCTCTTAAACACCTTTTCTAGTTGAGATGGGCAGTTGTTACTATGTGTATGCAAACACAGTGCCGCACCCTGAAATCATTTGGAAGAATTTTATTCTTTTTTATCAGTCTCATCTTCATAGCCAGCCAGGAAACAAAAGCTCTCCTAGATCACCGATAGACGTTGCAACATTTGTATTAGATGCTGCTTTAAAAATTCTGAAAGAGTGAATTTCTAGCCCTGCTTTTGTCAAGATAGATAGGCACATAAAAAGGTTGATTTTAAAAGCTTATCTTGCATGTAAGGCACATCACATTATATAATATCAAAATTTAGCCAGTGTTGGTATCCTTTCAGAAAAATTGTTTCCCTTAAATGGGAAAATTTTAGGAAGCTAAATGCTTAAGATTATTAAGGAGTCAGATAAAAGGTTGAAAGTAATTTTGCCGATAGCAATTAGTAATGTTGATGAAAAGTGATAGATTTGCTTTCCCTCAGCCAAAATTTATAGAAGTATGGTTCAATAACTGTCTAAGACATTCTATGTACACTAAAAAAAACTAGCATAACCTATTCCTATAAATTAAAATTTAGGCTTAGATACCTTAATTTAATTCATCTCAAAAAATTCAGTAGTTATAAAAGTACTTAATTCAGACGGCAGTACATATTGGAAAGAGAAACTTTAAAACTAACGTACCTGTGAGAGGGCATTATTTGCTAAAACTTGTAGCCTGATTTTAGTTTCTAACTGTTTTTCATGCATGGATGACAGTTTGTTTGGTATGAAATCACACTTCAGAATCAATTCACCGTCTCTTTTATTGTAGCCGCATGTTTTACCTGGAGCATAAGAAAAATAATTAGGAAAATACTTCTCGACCTGGCTGTTAGCATATAAATAATATATAACTCTGCGCTCAGAGGAGGAAAGTATAGTAAGGCAGAACCTCTATTATTAGACTTAATATAGCTGAGGGTCAGGCCAGATGGCTAAAAATCAGAATGATATAATTGTCGCAATTTTTGCTCCTTAACATTCTGGATTAAGTTTAAATGCATTCCATCCAAATGTCATCTGAATAGCGCTCGGTCTATTGATGATGCTTCTTGCACCATTCCAGCCTGTTTTTAGAATTTATTTACACACCCCTGAGATGAAGCAATATATGAATGAGCCAGATAATAGAGGTTCAATTGCATGAATTCAACATGATAGGACTGATTCAATGTTGAAATGAAACAGCAAAAAATTATATTATATTGCTGAACAACAGACAAAGGCCATTTTCTGACGACTGAACGGAGGTCAAAAATAGGTCCAATAAAACATAAAACTTTTTACTTATGAAGTAGCCATTTCCTGACTTCAATATTTGAATAGCTCCTGTCTCATCAGATCTTCAAATGCAGGGTAGGCATTCTTGATGCCAGAAGATGCGACACAACACTGTACTCATGCAATAGCAGCAATAACTTAAGTCGTTTTCTAGATAATTGGACATATTTATGCTAAAAGGAACTATGTGCACTTGCAATATAGTTCCTTACAGCATAAATAAGTCCAATTTGGAGTGGTCTCAGCTAAATTGGAAATGTTTTGTTTTGTTTTTGTTTTGCAACTTTTTGTACATAGACACAGGCAGTTATCGTACACGTCACATTAACATAAATTTGATACTGAAATCTTATGTTAACAATATTACATCTATATCACTATGCATTAATTTGTTACATTGTGATCGAAGAAATCGTCTACAGAGTAGNTGTTGCACAATATTCGGCTCATTTAATTTTTGGAGCATTTGAATGGCAATTTTTGCGTCGTCACCATCACTTTGCAGGCGTTGAAAATATAAATTATGTATCGCGGACACTATGCATTAGTCGTCAAACAAATTGCCGGATCCAGGTATATTGCTTCTCATTTTATAGAGCGTTTTCAATATAATTTTAATAATACTTGTACAACATAATAGCGTATATTGTGTGCATTTATCTGTTTAAATGATCATTAAAGGTAGTCTTCCTCGGTTTGCGTCGCGTGGCATGACGGGAGGGGGGTGGGAGTGAACTATCGTACTCCGGAGCGCTGCCCCGCGGAAGCGGACCGCGCCGCGCCAACTTTGAAGAAGCATAACTCGGAGACAAATCGTTTCCCCAAGATGATCTTGGGCTCATTTTAACCGTCAGAGAGAGGGCTATAAGTTGAACAGTTTTTTGTTCATCTGCATGCGATCGTCGCTGCTCTAAACTACAGTAATCTGATTTTTGGACTCATGGAAAATTTTTGACAGGCCATAAATTGGTCAAAAATTGACCTAACTATTAAACATAATATACCAAAAGAAAGCTCTTTTAACGACCTTTCATTTACAAAAAAGTTCAAATCGATATCTCAAACCGTTCAAAAGTTATAGCCAAAAAACCGTTTTTCATATAACCCCCCGCCCCCCCTCCTCAGGGGGGAATTTGAAAAAAATTCAACCATTTTTGGGTGTCCCTGACCATGCTCTTTGATGCCTGAAAAGATGAGGAGATTTCATTCTGGGCCCAGTTTCAATGGTAGATGGAACAACCTCTTTCAGCTAAAAATTATATTATATTGCTGAACAACAGACAAAGGCCATTTTCTGACGACTGAACGGAGGTCAAAAATAGGTCCAATAAAACATAAAACTTTTTACTTATGAAGTAGCCATTTCCTGACTTCAATATTTGAATAGCTCCTGTCTCATCAGATCTTCAAATGCAGGGTAGGCATTCTTGATGCCAGAAGATGCGACACAACACTGTACTCATGCAATAGCAGCAATAACTTAAGTCGTTTTCTAGATAATTGGACATATTTATGCTAAAAGGAACTATGTGCACTTGCAATATAGTTCCTTACAGCATAAATAAGTCCAATTTGGAGTGGTCTCAGCTAAATTGGAAATGTTTTGTTTTGTTTTTGTTTTGCAACTTTTTGTACATAGACACAGGCAGTTATCGTACACGTCACATTAACATAAATTTGATACTGAAATCTTATGTTAACAATATTACATCTATATCACTATGCATTAATTTGTTACATTGTGATCGAAGAAATCGTCTACAGAGTAGAATTCATTATTAATTAAATACACTTTTAGTTTCAATAATTTGTTCCCATCTCCTTCCCTGATGTGCTTGGGAAGTTTATTGTACATTCTGCTCCCTTCTCTGAGTAGGGGATCTACTGCGTTTTCAAGTTTAATGTTGGACTTGTTCCGAGTGTTATGAGAATGCACATTGTTGAAAGTTTTGAATTCGTCAAAGTTTTGGAAAACATATTTAAGCACATGATAGATATAGATGCTTGGGACCGTTAGTAGATTCATTTCTTTGAACTTGGATCGGCATGACTCGTTTCTGCCTAGACCAGAGATTCTTCTGATGATCTTTTTCTGCCAGATGAAAATGTCATTCAGTTTGTTAGAACTACCCCATTCGGCTATACGGGATGAAATATGAGAATATGCATGTGCATAGTTGTCTAAGAAAATCCCTAGAAATTTCGCAGAGTCGACAAGCTTTACGCCCATCTCTGATAGAGCATGACTGTCATCCGCTAAGTTTTTACTGAACAACATGAGTTGGGTTTTATCCGTGTTGATACACAGTCTCTTGCTAGCCACGAAGCTCTTTAGCCGATCNAGACTTCAGCTATGGCGCTGAAACTTCAGAATTATCTTTTGGGGACCAAAAGGAATGGGAAAAAGCCCGGGGAGCAAGGTTTTGAGATGGTTGTCTGAAAACGGAACACCCTAGCCGATCCTCTACGATTTGCAGTCTCGCATAAAGCTCCGAAGTATTCTCCGCAGAGATAAGGAAGTTTGTGTCGTCTGCGTATTGAACTACTTTAACAAATTCAAGGTCTTTAAAATAATCTTTGAGTGCGTTTACATAGATCAGAAACAAAAGTGGCCCCAGAGAGCTACCTTGCGGCACACCTATGTCTACCGACTCAAGCTTTGAGTTGACTTTACACCCATGGGCATCCATCTGCACATACTGTTTTCGATTTTCTAAATAGGAGGCCAACAAATTTAGCGCTGTCCCACTTACCCCTAACTCGTATAGGGAGGCACGCAGTAACTCATGGTTCACTATGTCGAAGGCTTTGCTCAGGTCAACGAAGACACAGAGCGTTAATTTTCCTCTTTTGAGATTGCTGTAAATGTAACGGAGAATGCTGTTTACAGCTGTGCAGGTGGATCTCCCTATGACAAACCCATGGTGAGAGCTACTTATGAGATTATGCAGCGTGAGAAATTCCCAGAGTCTCCAATAGATTCTTTTTTCTATGATTTTGCCGAAGTTTGAGAGTATACTGATCGGATGATAGTTGCTTACATGTTTCTTGTCATCTTTCTTATGGAGTGGAATGACTTTTGCTATTTTGAGGATATCTGGGAACTCCCCTGTAGCAAGAATGAGGTTTATGATAAAGACAAGCACAGGTACTACGTATTTACTCACTGACTTGATCGTCATAACGCTAATATCGTCAAACCTAGAGGAACCTGAGCTAGACAGATCGTTGATTGCCTTCACTACTTCGTTCTCATTGGTAGACTTGAAAGTATGTCTACTCTGTAACTTTCCGGAATCAACATGAGATGTTATAGCGGCGCTGGAGTTATACAGAGACTTAACTAAATTAACAGGGGCCGAGACAAAATGACTGTTAAACACTTTTGCAATCCCGGTCGCCTCAGTTATTTCTACTCCCTTGTCAACAATACTTTTTATAGTATTCACTTGCTTCCCCTTTCCTAAATTTTCGTTGACTAATCTCCACGATGCCTTTCCTTTATTCGAAGCATTGTGAATCACTTTGCCAAAGTGCTCCCTTTTGATGTGATGTTGATCCAAATCAAATGGCAGTCAAGTATGCGAAGGACAACATAATGTAATGTGTCCTTAATTGTATCAAAAACTTCAATTGTGTCTATTTCAACCAATGTTGGCATTGTTTTGTTAGAAATTTTTCTTCATCCCTTCAATGATAATGATTTTACAAAAGAAAATAACTTACTTAATAAACTCTTGTTCGCTAAAAATGATGAGACAGCATCTTGCCGGATTAATCGCAATTCAAGAGGCATAACTTGACTTAGTAGCTCTTCATGCAATTTTAGCCACTTCATTTGGAGTTCCTGGTACTCATGAGAATGGTGCAAGATATCGTGTAAGTTGCTATTGCAGGAACAAGAAAAAAATATAAGAATTAGTAATAGAGTCGGGGTGTCTAACTATCTACTAAGTCGTTGTTACAAAAATCATTGTTTCTTCATTCCCCTATCATTCTTTTTGTTGCTTCTGCACAACTTCCTCATTTGAAGTGTTTCCTAGGATTTTCGTAATTTTTACACCTTTTCTACCTGTTCCTGAATTAAGTGCATTTTAAATTTTGAAAAGGATCGAATTTTTTCCTTCGTCAATTATAGTTCTTGCAAATTTGTTTGACATGTAACAAGAAGAGTTTGGCGATCCTGCTTCTATAAACGATTACTAAAACGATTATTAGAAGGCTCAGAAACCAACCCAAAACATACAGATTCTAACTGAAATTTCACAGGAACATAATATTATGAACTAAGTGGGAAAATGGCATTCCTTCAAGGTTATCTTTTTAAGTTCATCCCAAATTCTTCTCATTGGCTTTCCGTGGATTTTCCCACCAATTTTAAAAGTGATGACTTTTTTTTTCCTTTCTTCGTTGACCTTTGACCTTCAGTCATTTTCAATCCTTACATATTTTCCCATTTTCTGCCCCCTCAGTTAATATTTGAAGAAAATTCCAAAATAGAAGGTGAATGGTTGTTGTCAAGAAGAAAGAAATTGAAAAACGAGAAAGCAACAAAATTTTTTGAATACCCAAGCTGAAAAAGAAAGGGTGCAGTGGTGCACCTGAATTTTTCTCCAGTGTTATAAGTACAAGGTATCGGTTGATTGTGCACAGTCAAAAAGTTTCAATTATAATAATTTTATCTTTTTTCATCGATTTCTTTAAGATATCAGTCTTACATTAACAAAACTTCAAGCTTAGGTTGAGATACTTTACTATATACTTACTCTCGCAATAATTTTAAATTTGATTGATGTTTCCAGTTACACCCAACAAAATGACGGATTCTTTGAGCTGCTCGCCAATCAGGTTGCAGATGAAGGACATTGTCATAAAATACAATTGACCTAAATAAAAAGAGAAAATAATTCTCATTATTTGACTTTCCTGGTGCATGAAAAAGTTTTTGATGTTTCTCAATACAGCTATTGCTTTAATTTTAAAAACTGATGGACCAATGAGAGACTTTTAACGAGAATTCAGTGTGTTAATGTATTTCATGGCTATGCTTCAGGTGTCATGACACTTCATGCTCAATGAAGTCAAATATAGGATATCTTTTGGAATTGGTTTTCAAGGCTGCTTAATTTACCTCATAAGTCATACATTAACATTATATCTTCCTCTATTACGTGAAATCAAAATTCACAATGAATTCAAAGTCTTTATATTATATGTAAAACAAAACCTGACAAATAGAAGCTAGCTTCACTCTGAAGAATATTCCATAATATATCAAGCAGAGATGGAATCCACAGACTTTTTCTATGCAACCACAGCTGGAAACTTGATACAGTGGCAAAGTATCCAACAGTCTTTTCTTGAGACGGGCCCACAGCAAGCCCTTGACAGACCCCTGACAAATCCTCCACAGGCGAATCACTAAATATTCAGCTCAACATTATAAAACTAGTATTTACCGGTTAAACTCTCCCAAAAACAGGTATACATTTGCTAAAGTGAAATGTATTAGCGGCTTTTGAGGTGCATGATCCAGTGCAGCATGCAATACAATCGCGGCTTCAACTAGGTACTCATTATAGCGCAAGAGAGAACCCAAATTCAGCAGGGATATATCTTTGTACCGTCTGAAACCAAAAGAAGACTCATATCATTATAAAATTTGTGAATATTATGGAATAATTTCTGTAGTAAATTTTGGTTATTTATTTTTATTTGCTAATTCTTTTAGTTCTGTTTTTTTTAGACAGTTGAAGAAAGTAACATGTATTTTCTAAATGGAATCTGTGATTCTACAGAAAATTGTCACCCAAATTCCTGATGTTCTTTGGTATCCTCTTTTTTCTTTCATCCTACAATAATTTAGAATTTTTCTTAGGCAAGCAAAAACTCTACCACAAAAACAAAAGCAAATACCTTGATGAAAAATGAACAGCTCGTTTTGCACAATCAATTGCTTTATTTGGTTTTCCTTTCTTCCTCCAAAAAATGGCTGCTAAGTTGTAATGAAACCAGGATGTACTGTTCATCGAGAGTTCATAATTTAAAATTTGACCAATTTCTGAGTATTTAAATATATCACTTGGTAACTTTTCCACAATTTGATTATCCTCTAGATGCCACTCCTCTGTCAAAACCTAATAAAAACAATTTCCATTAAAATGTTGGCAAAAGAAATATGAATTAAAATTATAAAAATAAAGAAATACTGAAAACACAATACGTCAAAACTTTAAAAAACCATGAACGCATTGAAAAATATCACAGGTCACACCTATGGAATAAATGATGACATATTTTATTAGAGAATAAAAGTAGATACCTACGGATCTGAAATGGTTGATATCATCTTAAATTTTGAATTTATTTTGGACGTAATGGAGTAGCAAAAATGCAGCACATTCTTTTTAAAACTAAATCCTGTATTATATCATGACTTTATAACCCAAGGCTCTCCCACTGTATAGGATCAAATTTTCAGATTACAAAAAACTTAGTTTATAAAAATGTATAGCATATTGGCCATTATATTAATGTAAATATATTTTAATGCTAATATAACCATGACTTTGGAATAAAATTCTGGATAAAGAGGAGTTTTCGGTTTTGTTTTAATCAAGTCAATGTTGACAATATACCTAAATTGTACTGCTGAGTAGAGGAGTGGAAATTGAAAAATACCTGCAAATGTGGAAAGGTGGCCAAAGAAAATTCTAATGATGAGAATCTTGAACAATCTGGCAAAGATTCTAGATGCGAAGCAGATTTGCCAGGACTTGACTCCAAACGTTTGAACTCTCTGTTCAGCAGGAAAAGAAAGAAAAAAATTAAATTTGCGTCTACATAACTTGCTGCATAGAGGAATTTTTGCAACAATAATTCAAAATTCAGCCCCTGTTCTTGATGATGATGATAAAAAGTTATAGAATACAGGATTTGAGAGAGGAATAAGGTTAAAAGGAGATTAGGGTTTTTTAATTGTAATTTTTTGATAATGAACCTAATCTTATCTAATCTTAAAAATGTATATCACTAAACTCCACCCAATTTTCAATCAAACATTTTCAAACTAATTACAAAGTATAGAAAGGGGGAAAATAAAAACCATTGCACAGTTGGACAATTTTAACCTTTTCAATAGTTATGGAGTAAATCTTTACCATCACCGGTATGTTATGGAAGTAATAAGTAAGTGCGACAATACATATGATGATTTAAAACATTCAAAAGAACTCATGGATTTGTGATGATTTATTTCCAGAATTAATAGCAGATGTGTTTCGACCAAGAGCTCTATTTAACATTTTAAATCATAGTGATTGTGCTAAAAATTCGTGACACCATTCAAATAAATACAGTGATAAATAGATGACAACAAAAAATAAGTACTAAGAGAATTGAGGGCAAAAAGTACTTTGTGGAAAAATTGAACTTACTCTAAGTCTTTTCCATCGTCAAAAAATGAGAAGGCCAAATCATCAGCATTCAAGGGCTCATCAGTGTTCAAACAGTCTGCATCCGTTGCATATAACTTGGACTCCACTTCTGTTACCCCGTCCAAGTCAAGTCTTTTACGGTTAATCATAGATACTTTCTCAAGCATCTGAGCATAGTACTCTTCAAGTTTTTCTACTCTCTTTTCTTGATTTAGGAAAGCGATCAGATCATGAGGAGCTCTTAGATGATAAACAGAGTCAAGCTAAAAAGAAAAAACAAGACTTCGAATCACATAAATGGTCAGTGGGGTATCAAATTTCCATGGCTAAAGTGCAAAACCACATAACTACACAGCAGTAATAAACAACCGATACGCTTAGTAAGTATAGCTCTGATGAAAGCTTGCGTAAAAATTTAATGGATAAAAATTCCAGAACTTGTTGAGTTTCCGGATTCTGTTATACTCCAAAGAAACATTGGATAGAGGAAAACAAAAACTTTCAGAGGATCGCTCTATGTATGATTGATGAAATGAGTGCAGCAGGGATCAAACTATCCACTAGTCTGAAATGAGTGTGTACAAAGAAGATTTAAATCCGTAGCCATTTGGCAGTAAATCAAAATTGAAAACATTTAACTAGCTCGGCCTTCATAATTTATTGCTACGGTGAGCAGCAGTTTAAATAGAGGCAAATAGGTGATGACACTCAAAATCTAAGTGCACACCTCTATTTGTGAGGTTACAAATTTTTAAAAATATTATCGATGAAGGAAAACCAACTGTATTTTGATCTATGAGATTTTGTACATTCCTGAAACTAACAAAGTATGAGTAACTAACAAGTAACAAGTTTGTGCATTTCCTTTGAAAGTATGAACTGAAATTAAGAGCAGAACGTCTGAAATACTGCTAGGAAGATCGGTCTCGATATGATTTTATTATAATGAACTAAATACCTGTTGAGGGGGCAAAGGTCACCAAAAAAGCTTAACCCTTTAATATCCACAGGTGTTTATAACTTGGCAAAATTTGAACATATGGTCGAAAGCTTGAGATATTGAACAATTGCCAATTCACTGTCGGTTAAACTTTGAGACCGATCAATTTTCTTTCGGTGTAGGACTGTGATGTAAAAGCACTTCCTCTGTGGTCGCACGTGAAACAATCTTAATGAGCACATGCAAGATTAATGGGAAACTTTCCGCTGGACTGATGAGACTAGACCAGAAGTTTGTCAAATCGTGATTGACATTTAATGTGCTGAAAATTGAGAGAGACTTGAAAGTCTAAAACAGAGGGAAAGCTCACCTGCGACTGAATTTTGCCATTCTCCGCTACAATCCAGTGGGAAGAATTTACAATCCTAAATCTAAAGGTTACGAGACACAACAAAGATGTTGCTGAAAATAATATCATATTGGTGAGAAATACTCTTTTACTTCACAGGAAAAATAGAACAAATTCTTTGTGAACTGAGCACATAGTTACTGCAAGTTATTACAATGCACTCAATCTTATCCAAGTTCATATCACAGCGTTCAAGCACAGTGCAAAAACAATGTTATGAATTTTTTGTCAAAAAAATTGCTGAAAACGTGAAAAACATTGGCAAACTACGAAATGATAGAGGTTAGGGGCCAGTTGTTTGTGTTTCACTAAATAAGGAACCATCTTTTGACGTCAGAGCTCAGGATTGCGTCATCACTTAGCTGCATGGGGTTGTTTTTATATATGACAGTTGTGGCTCGTTGAAAAGCAAAGCAGGAAAGTGAAAGAGTTTTGTTCCATTTCCTTACTTCTCGTATTACATTTGCTCCAGTTAGAATTTTTTATTACTTTAATTTACTCTCACATTTTTTCATATATTTATCTGCTATCACCCTCTGCTCCAGCAATGGCTGTTTATAATCCGGTAAGGCCTCACTCTATCCAATATTTTTCAAGAGATGATTCATGTTCTCTCACACACGGATCACATATTTGCATCATGCAACTGTATTGGATCTCCTCAAAGTTCAGAATATTAATTTTAAACGTTCAGAGACACAAATCACTAAGTCAATTGTGTGTCAGCAGCTCAACGCTATGTATCAATGATTTGACCCCAGAAGTTTCGGGCACATAGACTGGGAAGCTACCGCAGACTCTAATATCTCAGTCTTATGAAATTATTAAAAGAAAATACCCATAAACAAGTCATCTTGAAGTGCGCTGTAGATTAATGTTCCTCAGTGCACGGTGTATACCTAGTCACTTTCAGAAAGTGATTTTGTCCTTGATATCCAAAGACGTTTCGTTTGTTTACAAACTCGCACTAGAAGATCGTCATGTGACGATCTTGAATCGATGCAGAATTGTTACATGACAAATTTAAGCATATATTATTGGCTCATTTTGAAATTTCAGATTGGCGGGAAAGATCGGATCGCTGGATTGATCTTTTGAAAGATCGATTCTTTTGATCGGATCCTTGAATTGGATCGTTTCTGCCCAGCCAATTCAGATCAATCCTGGAGAATTGATTCTCAGTCAAAGAATGGCCATCACTAGAACCTTGTTAAAACTTGTCCATAGTGTTTGAGTCAGGAATCAATCTCTGAGTAACTCTGAATGAGCGTCGTTAAACAAATAAAGTGCGTCATCGAAGTAAACTTATCTGATGCTGCTTGGTTCTTCTGTTTATTAAATGCAACTCCATTTTCTCCTTGATTTTTTGAGACTTAGGGTCAGGTAAAGATGGTGAGCATTCATATTCAAAACAATGGTTCCAAACAGTTGACTGCAACAGCGCACCCCTCTATGCGTGCATTCCGGAGCCATCAGCTGTGAGTGTTGACACAAATGAGTCTTGACTTCTTTCTCAACAAATGATGAGTGAGCTCTAAGTCAAAGTCCAGCGAGGATGATGGCCCTTTTAAGTCAAACTTTCCTTCAGTCTCACTTCATTGACGTCAAACTTATAGTATAAATAATCTATTTAAGATAAAAATGCAGGTCTTTCTGTTAAAAGGAAACTTTCATACAGGCCAAAGCAATTTTTTTGTAATTCGGCAATAATAATGTAGAAAATATGCATATTTCGACGAAAATTTGAAATTTTGTTGGTAATACTTTAAATTTTAGTTGTGAATACCTACATGAGCGTTTCTGATAACTTCATGAAAAATTGGACAAATTCAACCAGAGGCAGCTTAATTAGATCAGACAACACCTTATTTCTTCTCATCTTTCTTTCCGCCAAAAATTAAGCAACATTCAGACTTAATATCTCGTAAGTATATTCTTCATAATTTGAGGGAAATTCAGAGAAAGGATGGAGAAAGTTTCAAGACATTATGTTGTTTACCTCTTTGTTAAACAAATGAAATACAACAGGAAGTTAGGCGACATGAAATGCATTCAAGCTGAAATCCCTCCAAGTATCCTGTGTTCACAAGTTCCAGATGAAAAGAGAAGTTCCTTGATTCCTGTTAAAAGAAAGTTCAATTTATCAGTTTGATGTTTTCTTTTAAATTTTATAGCCGATGCCGTATGTTGGTCCTATTCCTGGTGGACTGGCACCTGGTAGCACGTTAAATATTTCTGGAACCTCAAGTCATTCAGCTTCAAGGTATTACCATCAGATATTTCCAGAATTTCCTCTTGATCATTCTTATTATTCTGCTGTAGGTATCTTGTATTCTGTAACGATCATATTACTTACTGCAATTGTTTTTGTTCCATTAAATTTTTCTTGTGCAGGACAACCTATTTTCTCTGTGGCATACCTAGTTGCAAAAATTATTTGTAAAAAATTGCCTAAAAAAAGACACATCTAAAGCTGTGGAGATTCTTAGAATCTGCCAAAAAACACAAAGAAAAACAAAAATAAGTGAAATGAACAACATCTTTTACTCAGGGGTAAGAATGTCCACTTAATTATCAATAAACTATTAAGGCAAGTAGGTATCCCTCCCAATTCAGGTTAGAAGCATTAAGAGCTGAGAAAAATGAGATCAAAATAAATTTCCTTGTTTCATTTTGAATTATTCAGAATACTTATTTTTTCATGTCAATCAAATTTTACCATATCCATTATAAAGCATTAAATATCAATTTTGTGACTGTTTCAGATTTGCTATCAATCTTCAATGTGGACCCAACATATCACCTAGAGACGATGTTGCCCTTCACATAGCCCCAGATTTTATTCAGAGCTGTGTTCTCAGAAATTCGATCACAAATTTTAACTGGGGCATTGAAGAACGCCATGGACATTTTCCTTTTGTCCGAGGTCAGCCTTGGAATGTAATCATATTGTGTGAGGCCACTGGTTTTAAGGTGAATTATGCTTATATTCTCGTTTATTCATAAAATTTGAAATGTTTACAAGCAAAACGTATGTGTAACGAAAAGTGCTAATAAAAGAGAAGTTTAGGTACGTGTAAGGATAAAAAAATAATCCTTTTAATACTTTGAGGCAATACCTTCATGTGTAGATTTTTTCGTCGCCCAAGAAATGTCTTCAAATTTTAAGTAGAAAACTAGACTCTCAGCTGATTGTTACAATGATAATTAATTAGATAACTTTGGGCAGAAGTATGAAATCATGATGCAACATTTTTAAATGAATGACAAATGGTATATTGTTCATTGATTTGAACAGAACATTGATTTTCAATGCTCTTTTTTAAGGATATCAGAATATCCAAGCGTATCCTTTTGAGAATTGTTGCATTTTTGAAATTTCAAAAAAGAAAACTCAGCACTGCTCTAATTCATAATGTACTCCACCCAGTTAATCTAATGTATTTACCTGGAACAAAAGGAAGAACAAATGTACTAACTAATCATTCATCTGCATATTTACTTGCCCATAGTTCATGATGTGTGTCTCATTTGTCTCATCAGATTGCTGTCAATGGTCAGCACTTCACAGAATTCCGACATCGAATTCCATTCCAAAGAATATCCCATGTGGCCATCGATGGAGATACAGTGATCTCTTCAATCCAGTACCCTGTGGGGTCTGGAGGTATTGGATTTATGCCTCAGCCGTCTGGAATGCCTTACCCCATGAATCCAGGCATGCCAACTCCCATGTCAAATCAAATGCCTGGGTACAATACCCAGCCTAATTCATACCCCTACGGAAGTCAACCTCAGCATGGAAGCCATTCTCCTTATGGTGGTAGTTCTCCATACTCCCAGCATAAATCTCCGTATCCACAGGTATCTTAAGTGACGGCTATTCAAAATTTCAGTAGAATCAATTGGAGTTTTCTTATATTGTTAATGACCATACAATACTTGTACACAGAGGCATATATTAAGGGGTTCTTAGTTAGCGAGTTCTAAAGTACTTTAAAATCATAGCAACAGCAAGTATTGAAACTCGTCTTTAAAATTCTGATGAATAATGGAATTATTCATCATGCATACATTTCTGATGGAAAACTCAAAAGGTAAGTTTGAAAACAGATATGCTTTTGTGGGCGTCCTGGGAAACAATCTGAAACTTTGCAATTTTTCCAGCTCATTCCAAATGCAGTAAGGTGTCCACTAAGCCTGAAGAAAATTACTTTAAAAGAGAGATTTTTTTTACAGTGATAGAGTGAGCTGTTACAGTAACTACATTTGAAGTTATTTTGTATCCAATATTTAAATGTATATTTCTATGTTGTACAGTTGTATATATTTTTGTTCTTTATCAACAATCAGGATGACTTTTATACATATTCAAATACAGAAACGCGATCAGTGCGAATCAGCAAAAACCAATAATAAACATCTTCTCAACACCCTGACTCAGTTTGAATGAAGTCATCACTGATATAACGAGCATCCTGAAAACCAACCAGTGTAACTTTTATTCATAATACAACAAATTGTCATAGGACCTGCCTCATAATTGCTTTAGCTTTATGTTTGCTTCCTCTTTTTATGCTTTTAAATGTTGAGAGAAACACAATGCTGTATCTGCCTTGAGAAATTTCTCATTCCATAGAATTATTAGAGCTTTGGAGCTAATGATCGACCAACTCTCATTCCACCAGAATGAAATACACAAGAATTTCAGTTGTTTTTATGATGCTCCAATTGTTTTTCATGTCCGCTTTTTTTCTTGCACTATTTTATCCATTTTCAAAAAATGTCTGTGTTTGTAGCAACCTGGATCATATGTGCACCCAGATCCCAACTTACAGAAACACCACAACAACAAAGGTTTCCTCTCCAATGCTGGTGCAGGTCTGGCTGGTGCAGGCTTGGGTGCTGGTCTCCTAGGCAGTGTATTAGGACATGTAGGTTTTTCAACTCCCAGTCCAAACAATTTTTGTAACAAAAAGTTTTATCATGTTGATAATTTAATTTGTTAAGAATGTTCACATGCTTGAGTTCTCGCTTTGTGTCGTCATTTTGTAGGAAACATTTGCCCACCTTTCATTACCCTGTATGTTAAAACTGGAGGATTCCCTACCCTCCATATATTTAAATTGGAGAATTCACCCGGTGAGAGGCAGCTTTTTCATAATATTTGAGTTTATTAGAAAATGTTGCCTGCACGATCATCAGAGAATTCATGGACATTTTTGTACTCTCCAAGGTCTTCTAGTTTTAACTCTGATTTTTCTGTCGATAAACTGAATATAAAGGGCTAAGGTCATGCTACTTGCCACAGCTACTTAAATTCTTATTTTGTTCTACGTTCAAATTATTTAGCACACTAATATCAGCTTCAACTGTTCATTTAAACAAGAAGGGCTATTTAAATTATTTGTCTTGCTTGGTATAGCCTCCAAGGGTTCATTACTGTGCATTGCTATTAATTTCGTTAATCTACAGGCTTTCGTATCACAAGCTTCTCTTTTATAATTCCCTTTTCATCTACCTTAATTTTTCATACCTCTTGTTTTCTTTCAGAAACATGGTGGGAAAATTGCAGCTCTTGGTGGTGGCCTAGCGGCCGGTGCTCTAGGGGTAAGAAATTATCAATTGAGTCATTTCCAAATCTTCCTTAAAATGTTAAAGTTTCTTGAGCTATCTAATGTATAAAACTAGGAGGTTGCATAGTAAGTTGATTCCCCCCTACCCTCCAAAACCTAGACAAACAGACAACACTTATTGATCTTAGCCATGAAATTGTCTTTTGAATATAATAACTTCATCAAGTCAGTCTGAATGCAGTTTAACTACATCTGCGGGTCGATTGTTGAATCGTTATCGATTGAATTCGATCGATAGATCCCTATCTTAGCAATGCTTTTTATCGATCAAGGTCATTCGATAACGATTCAACAATCGATCCGCTGGATGGATTTGTTTTAATAGGAACTATGTGCGAATAAATGAAGTCAAGTGGCACTATGATTCTCTTTTACACATGTTTATTCTAAACTTTTTTTCTTGTTTTTAAAAAACAATTTCCTTTTTTCTCCTCAGAAAAAAGCTCTAAAAGCTCAGAAAAAACATGCAAAAAAAGCGTTGAAGTTTGGTCTACCAGTCGCTGGAGTTGGGCTTGGGGCATACGCTTTGCATAAAGGATTCCATGGTAGCAGCTCCAGCTCAAGTAGCAGTAGTAGCAGTAGCAGTGAAGAAGAATAATATTTTATGTTACTTGCAGGTCAATAAATTATTGCTAAGAAGCTTGTATGAGGTTATTAGGGTCAAACTAGTATCCAATAAGTTTTAAAATTGCAAGCAAAATATTGAGAAATATCGGATATTTTTATTTTAAAAAAGTGTTGTATTAGCTCCAGCTGTCAGTTTCATTATGTTTCTATCAGAAATAATTCAATAATTTTAAAACGAAAGTGGATAGTTCCTGAAAAGCAGAATGATGGCATTTGTTTAATGAGCATAAGATGAATATGCCCTTTGAATGCTCTAATTTTGTTCTCTAAGAATCCTACTTTTGCTGAATTTCCTTTCTCATTTGTGATGAAGATTTTATGGTATCTATAGCCACAACTGGTTTGGCGGTCTAATATTTAAATCACCTGTGTGAGGAAAAATCGAAAGTTCCTGTAAATAAGGTCAATATGGTCATAATTCTATCCATATTACCAAAAAATCTAACTCAATGGAAATCAAATTGAATAAAATTTAGTATGTTTTTCATATTTTGTACTCTAACTTTTAGTGAAAATTAAAGTAACCCTCAGTATTAATTTTTAGGGAACTAAGTGCTAATAACATAGAATCACCATTTAAAAATTTGTTTAATTTAAAATATAAAATGAAACTTTTAACATTTATTACTTTCAATACTAATGAAAAATTTTAATTTTTGTACTAAAAATTAGTTAAGTACCTAGCCGTTTGGGCACACAGGAAACCATTTGCTCACATAAGTCAGGTTTGCAATTCTGGAAGACTTTCATTCTTTGTCCAGCATTTAGCCGTTTCTTTTTGAGCCTGTCTTTGTTGTAGTTATTTGCATTTCCTGAATGAGGAGTTCCAAAATAACTTGTGACAGTTCTCTAAACTTTCGTTCATGTAAGACAACTCTCTAAAATTAGGGGCAAAAGAAGGCCAAGTATTAAAAGCTTCCCGATTGATTCTGATCTTCCTGAGTTCTTTAGTATTTTTAATGTTTTGATCTAAAAATGAACGCCTACTGTGCCAAAATCAATCAAAACGTTGGAATAGTTTTTCACACTTCCCATACTATCTGAAAAATACATGAAGTCATTGAATTAAGAGTTCACTGTCTCATAAAAGCTCACACTCTTCGTTTTTGAATCTGGAAAGCCGAGTCAATGATTCATTTTTATTTTCCTCTTGTCGGATTATGCAAGTCTGAATGTTAAATGGAAGGTTATTAAAAGCCTAAGTAAATGGAGTTTTTTTTTTTTATTCCTATTCAAATTGTAGGAAATGGTATGCCTTAATATACAGTCTGAAATAATCAGGTGATTTTTATAGATTGTTTTTTAACTGTAGACATGGAACAATTTGTGTTTTACTAAGCAGGATTTTATATATTTTGTAGCCTGTTGAACTGCGAAGGGCTTCCAATTTTTCAATTGTCTTCAATGAAATAGGATCGATATACTGTAAAACTCACACAGTGACCAAAATTCCCTCCAATTAAAAAATGTCCCTCTCAGTAAAAGATATTGGCTTTTATATTATATTGCGGAAAATGACATTGAAGGTTACCCAGCAATCTTAACTGCTGTATTTGCCTCTCAGTACTTTAAGTTGCAGTCTGTTTTGTTTTAGTTTAAGTATTTTATGCAGTTGACGCATCCATTATTTGTTACCTTGAAGTGTGTCAAATAATTGACATGTCCTTAAAAAATCTATTGAAGTGGAAGGGACGATGGGTATGAACCCATTTTTTTTGTTATGCTGTTTTGCATGGAATCGCATTCAATTGTTTTATGAGCAATCTCATAGTGTTATTATGCATAAGAATATTTCAACTTATTCTAAAATCATGCCAAGGTTGGAATCAGAAAATGTTAAATCTACTGATGAATATTCCTCTTCTTTTTTGTTGAAACTTAAGGAAACCCCCCTCGTAAGATACAGAGGAACATCAATCGAATGTCCCTGAATCTAAAATCGTGAATAAATCATTGGCTTTTAAGTCCAAAAGAATGCATTTTGTCTCGATTCAACCCCACCTGAAAATTCTGTTGAACTATATTTAATTTTTTTAGTTTATTTTTGTATTTGTTATTTTTGTTGGTAATAAATATTTATTTTGATTTTTATTATTATAGAGTTTTGTTTGTTATCAATTTCTTAATTAGTTAAGAGTGTTTGAGTGATAAATAGAATCAAAATAATTGCTTTCTAGTTTTTTATGTCGAACATACTTTACTGCAATGTATCAGACGACGAATATTACCAGTGGAAGTTTTTTTCTTACACAGATGCACTGGTGCAGATTCTTCGAAATTTTTCTTCTTTTTTTTGTCAAGGATCTGGTCCTTTTTTTTCTCACAACCCTTGAAACCGAAAAAGATTTCATACTAATTCAGACATTTTGAATACTACTCAACTTGAAAAGAAAGAAGAGAAAAATCTCTAATATTTTGAAATGCTACAAATTCAGGTGTATTTTTTTGAAATTTCCTCAGCAATAGATAAAGAAAATGAAGAACATAAGCTTTTTTCATCACTATATACTGCTCAGGGAAAGAATTTTTAGGTAACCGGTAAAAATTTTAAAAGTACACAATGACACTGGATCTAAATAGTTTCTAAAATGATAAAATATAGCTTTAGGCCCTGTAAAATATTCAACCCATTACTTTATACGTCTCAAGCTTTTCAATCCAAACCTAGAAACCAAGGAAAATTAATTGCTTTATGTTACATTAGTTCATCCACCCAACCAAAATAATGTGTAGGTATTCAAGGAGATAGAATTCTGGTACCTCGGAAATGGTTTTGAGTAATTTTTTTAAAGAAAAATGAGCAAAAAACCTCTGAAATATAGGTGCTTTTGATCTAAGTACTTACCCAGGAGGGAAAGTTTATGTGAAGAGGGTCCTTTTTGGAGGGATCTCTTTAATTGAGTAGGTACCTGCAGGCTTCCTCAAAATTTTCAAGTGGTCACTTCTCTCTTGTGACATAGGCACCTAAGTATCAATCAAGCAGCAAATTTTAAGCACAAAGCCACATAATTTGCGCCCACTTCTGTATCCACCTGTTTTAGAGTCCCTAAAAAAATGGCATCTCGTGTAAGAGGTGTCCCTGCAAATAGTGATTGCAGACTCGAAAGTATTGCAGAATTTTCTGATCATAGCCATACCAATTTTTGGGCCTTAGGTGTCCTTAAAGTAGGTATGTACATAAAGGCACCTTATTGGGGTGGTTATATGTGTCTTATGGGAGAGAGGGGAAGGTGGGTCAAGCACAGGCACTGCCTCATGTGTATAAGGCAAAACACTCGCTTGAAAAGAAAAAAATGGAATTTGAACTTGAATGAGCCATAATATGTTTTTATTTAGGGGGTTAAAGGGGTGTTTTACTGCAGGGAGGGGGAGGGTATACGAGTATTAAAAAAAAGTGTCTGATGG